ACTCGAAGGCTGAGGCAGAAGGATCGCCGGAGCCCAGCAGGTCGAGGCTGCGGTGGCCGGGAGCGGCCACTGCACTCCAGTCTGGGCGACAGAGTGAGACTCCAACTCAAAAAAAGAAAAAAAAGAAATTTTATCACTGCCCATTTGTAAGAGTCCACAGAAAAAAATTAAAAATAAATACAGCTTATAGTGACAACCAAAATGAAATAAACCCACTAAACCTATCTTTCCTCTAATTATAAACTAAAAACCTCAGGTAGAATATAAAAAGACACTACCCAAAGACTCCGAAAAAGAAACAATAACAAGTAGATGGGAAAGACCAAAATTTGAAAAATAGCTCTGATGAATTCTCTGAGTTTCTTTTTCTACTTTTATTTTCTGAATTTGACCCAAGGAGAGACTGAGTCATGGAACTCCACAGTAGAAATTACAAAAATTCCAAGAGAAATCCCACTTTCCTTCAAAGGACCGGAAAAATACCTATGAACCCAAGTTCCCCCCTCCGTTTTCTCTTTTTCAACTCCCAGTCCTTACTCCACGGCATTCCCCCGTCAAGAGAAAAACCTCTCCCTCTATCCAGAGGAAGTAGGAAAAAAGGTCTCTATGACAAGAAAAGCGTGAGAGTAACCACTGATTTTTTTTCACTCTCATCTTCACCCCAAAGGCAGCTTTAATAGTGTAAAGTTATGTTACAGAATTAAAGGCTAAGACTGAGAGAAACTCATAGTTCTGGACTGAGAAACAGAATAAGGTGCTCCTGGGAAGTAGCGGATGTGGAAGAAATCACAGAAAGAATAGAATGGGAGAAGAAGATCTCTTCATTCTGTGTATGAACCACCACTAGTCCTGGTCTCAACAACAAACTGCATGTGTGCAGGAAAGAATCAAAGAAGCAAAACAAAGTATTTGAGAACTGAAGTACAGTATCAACCATTGCTCAAGTCTCAGACTAACCACTGAATTAGCACATACAGAGTGCTGACCCAAACACTCTGAAAACTGAAATCACATTGGAACCATTATTCGGAGATGGCAGCACAGAACTTGGGAGTCTGAACTTAATTAGATAGATTCCCTGCTGAAACAAACAAAAAATCAACAGGTATCAATTCCAGGATGACTTCAAATTTGAAAATCTGACAAGAATCTTAAAGCAGCTATTATAACTATGCTGCTTTTGATTAAAAAATAAACACTCCTGAATTAAAGGATAAAGAGTTCTCAGCAGAGAAACAGAAACTATCAAAAAACCAAATGCAGATAATTCTAGAAATAAAAATCATAATACATGAATTAAAAAAATATTGGATAGATTCAATAAAATAATGGAGATGGCAGAGGAAATAGCAAACTCAAAGACAGATCAATAAACATCATTCAATATGAAAAACAAATGAAAATGATTAAAAACAAATAAACAGAGCCTCAGAAACATGTGGAACATCTAAAGGTCTAAAATTCATGTCATTAATATCCCATAAAAATAGAAAGAGAATGGTATTGAAAAATACTTAAAGAGATAGGAGAAATTCTGTTCCTGTGAAATAAGGCGAACAGGGAAATCTATAGTGACATAAAATAGATTAGTGGTTGAATAGGACTGGGGTATGAGGAGATGGAGGTGACAGCTAAAGAGTGAAATGTTCCTTTTTGGTGTGATAAAAAAGGTTTTAAAATTGACTGCGGTAATAGTTGCACATATGTGTGAAAATAATGGAAAGCAGCCTGGTTCGGTGGCTCAGCCTGTAATCCTGCACCTTTGGGAGGCTGAGGTGAGTGGATTGCCT